CACACACAGGCATCCCAACTTCTGACTCCCTGCCTAGAGGGAGATGGGAGTCTTTGACAGGCAATGTTATATACGTCTAATCTCCAAAGCCAACCTGGGAAAGATGGATGATACTTTTTTTTTCCTCTCTCGCTGTGTGTCTTTGTGCTTCTGTCTTTGACCGCCATGCTCCTCCTTCCTCAGCCTGTTTGTACTCAGTGTTTCAAGTCAATGTGTGTGAGCATGTTGTGTGTGTCACCAGTACACCTTAGAGGTCTTTAGATGAAAGTTTGTTCATTGACATTTTAAAGGCCAATTGCCTACCAATGAAAGAGCTTTCTAAAAAAACAATTCTACTGTGCTTTGTATATATTAAAAGCGTGGCAAACACGCTTTGTAGGCTAAATAGGTGTAATGTACTGGCTAAGTTACAGTAACAGATTTCTAGATATAGCCAGTGCCAGTCAGTACTCTGTGTTCAAAGATAATATTTGTTGCCACACAGCTCAATACAGATTTTAATCGTCTCAAGAGGAAAAAATGACAGGAGCATTAAAGACTCCCAGTTAAAAAACTAAGCCTAACTTAACAGCGAACAGACTCTGAAAACCCTTAAAGTTTTTCCACTCAATTCTGTTTGTAAATAATATATTCTGAATTTAAAAAATAGTAAAACTTGATTTGAATATTGATTTTCCTCTTAAGTAAAACCCATTTTAAAATGTTTTAAAGAAATTTGGTAGCCAGTACAAACAGGAGGCCATACACCACCAAGTAATATACACAGTTACTAAATATTGTCTTCTTTTTATGGGTTTTAAAGGTTTTTTTCTGCATGCACTCTGAGATATTTTATACACACCCGCATGTGTTTTCACTTGATTGGTTTGATTAGGCTCCTTTTAGAGGCTGTGTGGGCATGTACAAATTGGTCTTTCTCCTGTTGCACCTGTTTGCAATCTTAAGCTATAGACTGTGCTGAGATCAAAATGACATATGCAAGGGTGGCTCATGACTGTCTTGTACATTTTAAAGTCGTCTTAAGAAATAGTTCATAATGCTTTCTGGAGGCACCTAACTGAAAGCACAAGCCAGTGTTGTGTTTACGCATATATTACGCATATATGATCAAATAACCAATTTTAAATTGTATGTTTGGGCACTTTCTTTCTAACAGCCTGTTGCAAAAACATATCATTTGTTGCTATTTTTTTCAGTTGAATATGAAAAATGTCAAAGATACATTAGCACAGGGATAAAGGGGTAGTTTTGATCCAACAAGGTAATTTGCAAAGAGCTATCAGCCAAAAACTTAGTATGTCATGTGATGACGTGCAGTTTGTCCTGTGTATCTGCAGCAGAGAATAGCATCTGAAATGAATGTCCTTAAATAATAGAAAAATAATCCACCAAAGACCTGGCACAAGTCCTGAGAGATACATCTTGCCCTTCAGTTGATCCATCAGCTGTTCAATGAAGCCTCATTAGGAATGGTCTCAGTGGAGGTATGGCTGTCAAGAAGCTATTCTTAAGGAAGGGAAAGAACAGAAACAATTTTGAGGGCTTATTAAAATTGTACTGCTTTTGCTTTGTATATTGTATATCAATTCAGTTTGATTCGGTCTCAGTAAATAAAGGTAAACATGATGTAATATATAACCTTCTGCTGCTGCTATGAAGAAGAAACGAATGAGAGGCTACATTCAGAGCTCTACTATATGAGCACCTTTTTCACCTAATTCCATTAAAAATGCTTCAAAGCATTGTAGAGGTCCAGATGAGCCTTATTAGTAAAACCTAGCAGACAAAGATAGACTCTTTATGTGCCTGCATAACTGTCAGTCAAATGCAGGCGCACACTGCTTTAAGCTTTAACAGAATATAAATAGGTGTAATAGGTATAAAAAACTACAAGGCTATAAAATAATAATTTTATCTTTAATTTTGAACATGTTAACATAGAAACCTGTGAGGTTTGGCTTGTTTTTGCAGCCAGTTTGAAGTGACTGTTCAGTTCAGTTTAATAGCCTGCTCCATATAGAAGACAAAATGCTGACCCTTCTGCTCTGACAGGAACCAAATTACCAACATTTACATAGTGAGCAGAGCTTGAGCACGACAAACTTCTCTTACTTTGACTAAAGTTGCGCTGAACTCCAGCAGCACTGTGTTTACCTCAAATATATATATATTTTCCCACTCTTCACTCCTCCGCTCTCTTGTACAAAGCCAAGAAAAGTGAGTCACTCTTTTACATAAAACCCTGGTTGAAGCTGTCATTATGGGGCAATTATTATAGAAAAACTTACTGTATGAAAGGCATTGATCCTTTCAACAGCAGGGAGCTCCCATCTCCTGCTGACACACAGCTGGACGGCTGTCCTTTCTTCAGCAGCTTTTTGATTGCAGATCTACGGGGAAAAGGGCTGTAATACTGAGGAAATTATCTTGAATAAGGTGAAATTGAGATGCACACAGGATAATTATCAGTCACTCTGCTGCATGGCAATCATGGTCAAAGGCACGAGGCACTGATTGGTGGCCTGCTGCACATGCTTAGCGACAGCTGTGTGTGTGTGTGTGTGTGTGTGTGTGTGTGTGCGCTGTAGGTGTTCGCGACATGCTTGCATCATTATACAAATGGCATGCCTGCATGTTCAAATAGATCGAGCATCACTGCTCAGTTTCTGTTTTTAGATGCTCACATACTTGTTGAATGATTTGCACAAACACACTTCAAAGAAATGGGAAAGGTTTGGGTTAACGACAACAGAATTACAGTGCATACTGACATAATATGGGTATTAAGGTAAGATTTACAACCAACAGAGTCATGAAGTTTTGATATTCTTTTTCCAGTGACCAATATTTTTTAAACCATGTCTAGATATTTTCTGACTGTCAGAATGTTAAACTATGCATTTTTTCCCAGGAGAGTCCTTCAGATTGCCATTGCAATTCATGCTGTGTGCATCATCGACATCCACCTCCCTTTTCCTGTTCTGTAGACAGCATTTCATTCCTCCCTCTCATCACAGTTTGTTCTCATGCCTTCCTCCTGTCTTTCTACCCACAGCTACTTCAGCTCTCTCCTGCATCTTTTTCTCAGCTTCTCAACATTGTAATTACCGTGTTTTCTCTCCTCTCAATGTGATAATTAATATCAAAAGAGGAAAAACTAAGACTTTGTTGAATTTTATGTGCAGCCAGCAGACATGCTCATTGGGAAAAAAAAGTCTTGTTTGTTTTCTCCTTCTTCTTTCAGACATAAGAGCTTACCAGAAAGCCGCAAACATATCATTCATGTTCAAACTCTTCACTGAGTGTCTTTTTGAAACTGAGTGAGATTGCTTGTTAGACTTACACACACAGTTATAAAGAGAGCATAGTCTTTTTGGTAAATAAAGGAATCAAAGATATGATTACGTTATTTACAAATAGAGAGCTGTGCAAAACTCGTGAGCCAACACGGTTTATATTTCGCTAAGGAAAATTGGTGCACCAATTCAATGAAAAATGCAATTATGGCAATTCAGTATACAAGGGAAAAACAGAATGTAGCGTTTGAACAAACCTCAAAGTCAATATCTGGTGTCATCATATTTATTCTTTAACACCTTACCTCTCTTAGGGAAACTGTCTTTAAATTTCTTCAAGCAGCCTTAAGGAATACTTCTTGAAGGAAATTCCAGAATTCTTCTTTGGATATTTTGGATGCCATTTCTTTGGCTCTCTACTAATACAATCCCACACTACTTCAGTGGTGAACTCCAGGCTCTGGGGAGGCCAATTCATGAGTGATAGTATTTTTATATTTCAGTGTGTTTGGCTTTATTGTTGTGTTGAAAAATGAAGCTGTTGCCAATCAGATGCTTTCAAGATTGCACCCTATATTGCCAAAAGCATTTGCTCGCCTACCTTTGCTAACATATGAACTTCAGTGCGACCCCATTCTTTATCCATAGGATTTAATATGACTCCAGCCCACCACTTGCAGCTATAACAGCTTCAACTCTTCTGGGAAGGCTTTCCACAAGTGTGTTTATGGGAATTTTTTTTTTCACCATTCTTCCACAAGCACATTTGTGAGGTCAGAAAGTGACACTGGACAAGAAGCCCTGGCTTACAGTCTCTAATTTATCCCAAAGGTGTTCTATTGGGTTGAGGTCAGGACTGTATGCAGGCCAGTCAAGTTCTTCCACACCAAACTTGCTCGTCTACGTTTTTAAGAACCTTGCTTTGTGCACTGGTCATGCTGGAACAGGAAGAGGTGATCCTCAAATTGTTCCCACAATGTTGGGGACATGAAATTGCCCAAAATGTCTTAGTATGCTGAAACATTATGAGTACCTTTTCCTGGAACTAAGGGACTGAGCTCAACTCCTGAAAAAAAAACAAAAAAAAAAACACACCATAATTCTCTTTTCCACCAAACTTTACACGTGGCACAATAAAGACAGACAAGAACCATTTTCCAGACTTGTGTGGGAATTCAGATTTCCAGACTGTGAAGCATGATTCATCACTCCAGAAAACACGTCTCCACTGCTTTAGAGTCCAGAGTACTTTACACCACTTGATCCGGCATGTTTTATTATGCTTGGAGATGTAAGGCTTGGATGCTCAGCCATGGAAACCCATACTATGAATCTCTGTATGTACTGTTCTTGAGCGAATCTGAAGGTCACATAATTTGAAGGTCTCTAGTGATTGACTCTGCAAAAAGTTGGCAACCTCTGTGCACTATGTGCCTCATGTAACTAAAAGTTGACAGTGGAATATTTGTAGCAAGGACATTTCATAACTATTCTGAGCTTCATGCAGAGGTGATATCCCACTTTAAATTATTAAAAAGTCTGACTCCTTATAAGCAAAATATAAAGAAACAAGATCAAAGATCATTACAGGAAGAAAATTAAACTCAATCACTATGAAATGGAAATTCGCTGTATTTTACGATTTTTCAACAGGCATCGTAAGACACCCCAGTTGTCCTGTAAGAGGTCCTTCAGAATTCCAAGATGGCGGCATCCATCGGGGTGTGCTGTGCCCTCCGCATCACACTTGGAGGTGAATTATTTCGCCCTTTTTCCTGTTTCACAGCTTTTTAAACATAGCCCATTTTATAAAGTGCAGTGTATTTATTGTCTTGATGTTCTTGAATTGTTACTGTTTTGCTCCGGTTTGCTTAGTTGACCCGGAAGAGCCTGTCATCATCACTCACATCGTGAAAATTGCTCACTTCAGCCAAAAACCTGAACTGCATTCACTAACAGCAACATCCAGGGAGTTAAATTGAAGAAATATTCAGCAAATTGTGTTCATTTTTGGGTGGTACTGTGTCTGTGTTGCAAGTTTCGGGTTACGCGTACTTCACCATTGCTCCCTAATCGATTTTGCTATGCCCTAAATATTGATCAAGTAACAGAATGTAATGGTTTAAACGTGAAACTGGTTGTTCTGAGAATTATTTCTGCGAAATAGACTTGAAAGAATAGCTGTGTGCTTCATAAAGTGTCGCCTTTGTTAGGTACACCTTGCAGGTGTATAATCTAGTGTTTGTAGCCTTAAAGCACTTATTTCTAAGCCTGTTTGATTCTGCACTGCTTATTCTATAATTCTTCACCATACGTTTAATTGTATGGTGTTTTCCAGCTGTTATTTTTATGCATACTTCAACTTTGATATTTATACTGTTCTTGGGGGTCTTCAAAGGCGCCTACAAATAAAATTTGTATTGTTATTATTTATTATAATAATTTCTGACCATTAAAAAAAGAACAAAATGTGATAAATAACGTTTTATCAGTGATTGCCATTGCTGTTTTAACAAGTGTCATTGATGACAAAAAAGAAAGAAAGTGTCAATCTCTTGCCACAAAGTGGCAGCAACATTATATCCAGTGACACAGCAGAGGACAAATATGAGCAGAAACGTAGCCCAGGTAGTGTTTTCTCTGGAAATCCTACGTGAACGTAGAGTGTAACTGCTTAACACTTTAGCTTAACAATAACCAAAGTAACTTCACCTTGTAGCTCTTCAGGAGTCTGTACAGTATTGTCACATATAAATAGGGATGGGTATTGATAAGATTTTCACGATTTCGATTCCATTTTCGATTATGTTTAACGATTCGATTCTTTATCGATTCTTTTATCGATTCTCTTATCGATTCTCTTATCGATTCTTTTTAAATAAAAGGAGAACACTAACTTTGTTTTATATCTTCTCTTTGAACAAGATAGAAATTTAGGAGTAACATGGCCTTACAAACCCAACAGTGAGATCTTAAGAGATCCAGCCT